CTATGGGAGCTTTTATTAAGTCTTTCCACAGTAGTGATGTTGTTATTATTGCAAAAACTAGAACGAGGTTGTAAAATGACTGATCCATTTGTGAAAAAAATTAAATGGTGTATGGCTATCACCAGAAATGCTACCGTTGTATTTGTAGGGATGGTTATTGCATATATCCTGAAAACACCGTTTAATAGTGAACCTCTCGCCTTGGTGGCTGACATCAAGAAATGTTTTCCAGAAATGAAACCTCATTCTTTCAGTACTGTTGTTAATAACAAAACATTGTCATATATAGACATGCTAGATATTCTGGGACCCTAATAAATCGCGTTGCCTTTTATTGCTGTTCTAGAATCAGTTGCCATTGCGAAAGCATTTTCTGAAGGGGTTTCAGTAGACGCTACCCAAGAATTAATTGTCTTTGGACTGTGTAATATTATTGGTTCATTTGCGGGGAGCATGCCTATTACTTGTTCTTTTACTAGAACAGCACTTAATCATGCTTCTGGTATCCAAACTCAAGCTGGAGGTATCACGAAGTGCTTGTTGTTAATATTTTCTTTAAGTGTTGTAGAGTCAACGTTCTATTATATCCCTAAATCGTCTTTAGCCGGACTTATAATGACAGCTATGTCTTTATGATTGATTTTAATATATTTGTTGTATTATGGAAGAGTAGTAAAAAGGATTTGTTCTTATTAATAATTACAATGATCGTATGCGTGTTTGCTGGATTAGAATGTGGAATTGTTGTAGGCATACTTCTAGAAGCCATATTGTTACTTTTTTTAGCAAGTAGACCTTCTATGAAGACAAGTCTGATTACGGCTGGTAATGGATAACTGATAGTGATACCTGATGATGATGATTGATGAGGTACCTTATTGTGCAGCTGAATACGTACGTAGAGAGATCATGAAATCATTTTATCAAACCAACAAAGAAGTTATTATTGTTATCGATGGTACAAATCTGCAAGTCTTGGATTCTACTGTAGCCTTTAATCTTACATCTATCGTAAAAGAGTTATCAGAGAATCCAGAGAATGTTTTATTTTTACATTTTGCTAGCAACTTGAAAAGACATGTTTAGCTATAGAGCCAAAGTTTGAGGATAAGTTTGTTACTGCTTCAAATCCAACTGATTTGTTGCTAATTGTCCACAAGTATGTGTAATAAAATGACCGTTTGAGGAAACTTATGTCGTAACATTTTGATAAATATTATCTTACTGAATTTGATGAGTAGTTATATATAAAAATGTGAAACAGTACAATTTCAAGACTCGTGCGTTTTCACAAAATTATTATTATTATTTTCTCTAACATAACTTTTACTCTGGTAAGACTTCTTTTTATGATCCCTATATTTTGGAATGTTTATTCGAAAGGTTTATTCAAAGACTTCAATCTACATAGATATTGTTGGGTTTATTGGACAACGGTGATTGACAGGTCTAAAGGTGGTTTTCCACTGATGAGGCGAGACGAGAATTGAAATCTCGCCGGTTTATTTCCGCCAAAAATAGCTATGGTTGTAATGAATATTCAGTAGGTACTTAACGGAAAAATAATCAGATAAAGCCTTCTTTTTTAAACCTCAAATCGTACGTACCCCACAATCTCGCGAGTGACATCTCTCACGGAGAATCGTATTTCCGTTGCAGAGTTAAAATAACTCTATGTAGGCAGCAGTACGGTTCAATTTTAAATCAAAGTCAAAGTCAAAGATTATTTATTCCATAGGTAAAATAAATTTACACTTGAAAATGTCACATTTAAGTTACTGCTCGTTCACTACGCTGACCTCCCTGAGAAGAACGAGCAAGAAACTCTAGGGATTGCTCTTTTCAAATAAACTTAAATACTATGGAATACACTTTGAATCAAATTTGTGTGGATTCTGGAGCCGTGTCGTCTTTCCATACATCTTTATCTAACACGTAGTCTTCAATTTTGTAATATGATTTTTCGATCAAAATATTTTTAATGTAGTTTTTATACTTAGGAAATGATAAACTTAATATATGCTCCGGAATCTTATTGTAAAAACGTATACAGTTTCCCATAAAAGAGTTGTTTACCTTGGTTAAATGAAATCGTGGTACCATGAGTTTGGACTTAGGTCTAAGGTTAATATTATGAATATCTTCTTTCTTATTGGAATTAACATCAACATCAACAATTCTTCCCTCGCACATCCTCGTCAATCCAGACCATTTCCACCGAAGATGCGCTCAGGAAATTTTTATACAAATTTCAATCATCGTCTTGCTTCGCCGGTGAAAAATCACCTTAAGAACAGACATCTGTCTGCACTTTTTCACTGTCAACTACACTGTCATCTCGATTTCTTGCGGCGTTACCATTGTCATCCACTTTTACCAGCCAAACCATACTCGCAGTGACACGTGAAGCCGAAGTCGAACCATTTTTGTTTTTATTATTGCTGTGGTAAGCACTAAGCACCAGAAAAATATATTTATAGTTTCTAGACATAATAATGATCAAGTCAAGTTAGTTCTTAACAGAGAAAAGTATACAAGACCAAGTATTTGCGTAAAATTGCGATTTTTTTAGAAGAAGGAACTTAAATTTTATTGACCTTTGAAGTATATGTAGAAGATTAATAGATTATAATACTGATTTTTAACCAACTTCAAAAAAGGAGAAGGTTCTCAATTCGCCTGTATGTTTTTTTTTTCGATATATGTTACGCGATAACTCCGATATTTGTGAACCGATTTTCATGATTCTTTTTTTGTTGGAAAGGGGGTACTTCCATAGTGGTCTCATTTCATTTTGAAGAAAATCATCCACCTCGAAGGGGGCTGTTCACGCATGAAGATTCATTTTCATAAATAGCGCCTAACATTAATTTAGGAGCAATTACTTTAATGGTTGATTTTGCTATTTTTCCAATTCAAGGCGTTTTTCTCTCAATATACTTTGAGTAGTGAGAACCTATTTTTATTATCTCCAGTGTCAAGTCCTGTGTAGTGGCGAACTAAGGGCTATTTCAATAAAACTTAGCAAATAGACGTAATTCCACGTACTTTTGAGGTCGGTTTTTTTAGTACTCTGTACTAAGATTATTTAATGTGAGATAGTAAATAAGTGTTACTCGTAGTAGATAAGGACTATATTGAAGTTGATTTGATAGCGGAAATGTCGTGTTTCGTCTTGATGTTGTTATTACGTAATGAATAAGGTGACTGCATAACAGAGTTGACCTTTACGTCATTACATGACTTATATTTTGATAATGTATTTGATAGCCCCCATTTGATGCTGCCTATGTTATCAGACCAAAAATTTTCATTCTATTTTGTTGTTACATTAATGCGTGATGATCTGATTTCTTAATAAATTTATTTGAACTAAATTGCTTTTAATTATTAATACAAATATCGAAGACTTGGAAAAAAAATCCTTTGATCCGGCCGAATTCGAACCGAAGTCTTCTAGCAAACCGTGCTAGACGCTATGCCAATTAAGCCACGGAACGAACCAGCGGACCTCACGAATTTCTCTATGTGCTTGTTGTCGGATCTTTGTTTTAGGTTTTTCAACGACTTTTTACCCGTAGCGCAATCTATGAGAAATCTATGAAAGTATTTCGTCACCCCCAGTTAGGTAAGTTTACAGCTACCAGCCCTGGCTAGAAAAGTCCCTATTAACTGTAATTAAATTTGTATTGAATTGGTATTAATTTTTTTTTGTGAAATTACTCCACGAGTTTGTTTTAATTATTAATACAAAGATCGACGAACGCTTAGAAAAAATTCCTTCGAACCGGCCGGATTCGAATGCGCGACGTCTTACTTGTTTTTACTTGACGATGCAACTTTGACATTTTAATTATTAGTAAAAAATTGAAATATTTCATAAAATAGATTTAGTACACATAGCGCAACTTAAAAAATACCACCTTGCTCTATTTCGAAGCAAAATATATCGACAGGTATGAAAATCAACTCGAACAAAAACAAAAATAAATTTAAGGAATAATTTGATGGAAAGCTTAAAAACTTGAAAGCTTATCCAGAACCTGAAACGTCTGTGAAAGATTGCCTAATTACATTTGCCCTCACCGTGTTGAAGATTATATACATAACAATGTCTGTTATGAGTATAATCAGCAATGGCATACACTACAACTACTATATATGCTTGCCATGGTGGTGAAAGGATTTACCAATCGGCGTAAGGTGCTCGTCTATTGTTTGATTCGTCAGGCGTACAGGATGGAGAGGTACGTCGTGCGTGGAAGCCCCTTTCGTGCACTTTACTCACCTATAACGCTTATTCTTCATTGACTTTCAATTATATGGACGTCGGGTCCGCGCTAAAAAGTGTCCGAACTTATAGGGCGTTAAAATCGTATACAGAGCGTCATTCACGCTTTATCTTCGTTTGTTCGACTGACAGCGAAGCAAGCAAAATTAGACAGTACTGCGATGACATTACAATTTAAATTCAACGTTTTAGCTTTTTCATATTCCTTTACATATCGCTACGTTTAAATAGGTTGACTTGGGACATTTTTTTCGTGGTTTTTGTATTAGACCCGTCGTCCATTTATTTGTAAGTCAATGTTATTCTTAGACTTTTCGGGAAAAAACAAATGCCGGTAATGTACACCATTCCGTTGCATACAAAGAAATATCAAGTGATCACAATCTTTTAATGCGGTCATTTCAGTGATAAAGATAAGCCAATCGGATAAATATTTATGAAATTTTAACAAGTAGTTCGTACGAAAGTGAACCTTTAACTTGCGTCAAGATATGTGTATGGTTACGTCAATTTATTATGTAAAATATATTTATCTATATGTATAGGACATATATGGGCAAGTAAATCACTTCAAGATACGATAACAATCAATGTAAGATTCAGGTATCGGATTCGAAACAGTATTCAGTGATTTATTATACAAAACACACGCATCAACATGACAATTTCTCTAAGAAAACGATTAAGGAAATCGTGCAGTGCGAAAACCATGAAGAAAAAATTGCCAATAGTTGAATGGTTACCGCAATACAACGTTACGACTCTTATACAAGATATTATTGCTGGAATCACTGTCGGTTTGACGGCTATACCTCAAGGGATTGCATATGCTGTCGTAGCAGGACTATCACCCGAATATGGACTGTATGCAGGTTTGCTGGGAGGTTTCGTATATTTATTCTTCGGTAGCTGTAAAGATATTACAATTGGACCAACAGCAATAGTATCTACAATGACCGCAAAATATGTTACTGAATATTCATCTGATTTTGCAGTATTAGCAGCCTTTTTATCTGGCTTAGTAGAATTAGCTATGGGAGTTTTACATCTTGGTTTTATTCTGGAATTCATATCACAACCTGTTATTACTGGATTTACGAATGCTGCCGCTCTTCAAATTGCATCGTCTCAACTTAAAGCGCTACTGGGATTAAATGGATCAGCCGGGCACGTTTTCTACGAATCTATTATTAATTTTTTCCAAAATATAACAACTGTACAACTTTGGGACTCTGTTCTTGGAATCACTACGATTATCACCCTATTTCTTCTTAAAAGTTTGGGAAAAGGATGTACTCGAACCGACGGTTTCACAAAATGTTTGAAATGGTTTATTTCATTAGGTCGAAACGCTATTGTTGTTATTTTGGGCATCATTATTGCTTATTCCTTAAAAGCATCTAAAGGTACTGAACCTTTTACTTTGATAGGAGACATAGGCAGTGGATTACCATCAATTCGACTGCCACCATTTAGTACTACAGTTGGAAATGAAACCTATACCTTTACAGATATGATACAAGTATTGGGACCACAATCGATAGTTTTACCTTTAGTATCAATATTAGAATCTGTAGCTATAGCTAAAGCTTTTGCAGGAAATAGGCCAGTTGATGCAACGCAGGAAATGATGGCCATAGGGCTTTGCAATATTGTTGGATCATTCATAAGAAGCATGCCTGTAACTGGTTCGTTTACTAGAACAGCAATAAATCATGCTTCAGGTGTGCAAACTCCAGCTGGAGGTATATTCACGGGCTTATTAATTTTGTTAGCATTAAGTCTTTTGACTTCAACATTTTATTATATTCCAAAAGCAACTTTGGCAGGTTTGATTATTACAGCCATGTTTTCAATGATGGAATATACTATATTTATTAGACTTTGGAAGAATAGTAAAAGAGAACTTGTTGTTTTGACAACAACTATCACAGTTAGCCTCATAGTAGGTTTGGAGTATGGTATTATTACAGGAATATTATTCGAAGCCATTATGTTGTTGTACGGAAATTCTAGACCGAAAGTAAATGTAAATATAGTGACAAATCAAAAAACAAATGCAGTAATTATATCACTTCTGGATTCTTTATCTTATTGTGCAGCGGAACACGTACGTCGTACGATACTGAAGGCATCTAGAAACGGTTCATCTTGTTTGATAATTATAGATGGAACCAATTTGACAAATGTAGATACTACAGTTGCATCTAATTTAATGTCAATAGTGAACGATTTAGAAAAAAACTCTATGAATGTATTGTTTGTAAATTTTAATAATAATTTGAAGAATATTTGCATTAGTGTCAGTTCAAAGAATGAAGATAAGTTTGTATACGCTCCTAGTGTCTTAGAGTTATTGACCAAAAATTCCACTGAAATTGAAATACTTGGAAAAATAAATGAAGAATATGCTTTATAGTTGAAACTGAAAGAATTTATAATTAGGGAAACAAAGTACTCGAAGTGTGAAGTGGGTGTTTGTTTATAACCATAATTATGTTCTATTGAACAAAATCGTGCGTCAAAACTCCCATTGCCGTTTATACAATTTGTATGGTCTATCTTTTTTGAAGACGGAGTACAATGACATTTGCAGGGCTGCCAGTTTTCATAAAATTTTAAAAAGTCATATAATTGTTGTCGATAGTTTTATCGACAGATTATGAAAAAAGGTAAAAGTTTGCCGAAAATGTAACGACATTCTAATGACTACTAATTGTGTTATTGCTTTCTTTATTCTTATTTTGACAGTTGGGCATTTAGTATCGAAATCAATTTTTATTCATATGTATTTTTTTACACGCCTGTCCATAACAGTTGCAGTAAATTTAATAAGGACAGGCGGATTGGATTCTTGAAAATATGTCTTGCCTTTCTATTTCTAATACACATAGTTCTAAATTATGTATATTAGTTAATGGTTGTGTGTGTGTGTATGAATTCACAAAAAATACAATTCCAATGAACCTGTGCCCAGCAGTTGCCGATGCCGGGCCGATGATGGCTTAAATGAAACAAGTTCGGCTATTTATTGCATAAGCGTAACAAACATTAAATCCATAGTCGATAGAATATTTATCGACTGCAATCACTAGCTGTGTACAAGCGGGTAAAATTTCTGCGCATTGAACAGTCATTTTAATCAATTTTCAAAAAATACAGACTATAGCTTTAAGGTCATTGCCCTATTGAATATACGAGTAGTGCCATCTAGTATTGAGATACGGAACTGCAAAGGCAAATAGTTTATATTAGCTGTTTACAGAATAAGATATAGTATGGTCAGTTTTGTATTCAATAAAAACTTTGTTGTCTTAGTGTGTAATGTAAGATTAAGTTTACAATGGCTTTGCTACTAAAGCTGATATCATTTTCAGTTTGTTTGTTTCACTTTAAAGAATAAAAGAACAGGATTTTATAAAGTTAACGGTCTCTGTATGGATATTTGAGTATAATTTACGGGGTGTCATGTATTAGATTGTAAACTGTAAAAGCGTTATTCTTATCTCAAATAGAATAAAAAAATGTAATGAAGAGTTAGTTATATTTTTTTCTATCGCAACCCGCTTCTGTTTGCTTCATAACCGCTTTAAAATTATGATCGAGAAATACAAAGAAAAGTTCCTTCGATCTAGCTTGACTTGAGCGAGCTTCCGTGGGCCCCAGTATATTTCTTTGTATTTATCGATTTTTGTATCAATAAGATATTGTGAAAATACTCCCTAACACAAAAAATATAGGAATATCATGGTATACCATACAGTTAATGTAAACAAACCGTAATGAGGTATTTTAAGAGGCTTTAGCTGGTTAGTTATTGTAAAATTATAGTGAACTTTTTGGAAATGATTCTAAATACATGATAATATTTTCAGGTAAGGAAAAAATATTTAAATCGAATACGAATTTACGAACATATACGAATTTTGTACCATAGCCACGATTTTGCAGTGCATCGGGAATGTTCGCCATAGCTAAAGTAGATGGCTTTGGAGTTATTGTCCGAAAAAGAGCGACATCTCTGGTGCATAGAATTCGTGGCAGAGACAACAGCCTCCTGAGTATAATTGCAAACAGGGTCCAGGGTTCTTTCCATGAGCACTAGTCTCGGTAGCATATTAATTTTAGATCAATTTGTTATTTCTAGTACTAAGTCTATTTTTAAGTGCTTTGTTACTAACCTATATGGATGAACAATCCGAAATAAAGATATTTGAATTTGAAATCTAATCGGCATAGATTAATTAATATTTAAATAATGTAATTTTATAACACGTATCACAACTTTCCTACGATAAACAACCTAAAAATCCAGGAGTTCCAAACTTTTAAAAAGATAGCTAATACAGCGTACAAAACTCACGACCATTATTGCATTTGACCGGTCAACCCGACGCGACGCCATTATAAATACGTTTGCTTTACCTTCAAATGACAGCTGAAGTTTGTTTACTTTTGATTAATAACCTCATATAACCTCAATCTTTATACTATAATAAATACATCATGATATTCAATAAAATAAAAACCATTTCAACAATTTGAACTCAACTCCGAAACACCCATGCATTACTTTATATGTATTAATCAACATAGCAACTAATAAGTCTAAAAAAATTAATATGCTATTGAAAACTGTACTAAGCTTTTGTTACTAGGTTAACTTTGTACTAAGTTATATCACAGCCTATGTAACAAACAGTAATTCACAATAACCATCGCTTTCATCTTTCAAAAGACTTTATTAATGAACAAACATGTCAAACCCTAAGATTTTCGTTGTAAACGTTTCCTGAAATCCCTAACAAAGGCGAAATCACAGATGCCGTCAAGTGTAATACACGAACACGTTCAATAATCGATCAGCCACCTTGTCCTTTGAAGGGACCGATTTGATGTTGGATCAAATTAACGTGCTAAGACAATTCATAGTGACTATAATAATAGTCAGAAATGTTTTGGTAGAAACAGTGGATCAGAATTCAGACGGCAATACTTGCTGTACTCCGCTTTTGTATGCCCTACGTAGTAAGTAGGTAAGTAGTAAGTGTATATACATAAAAAAAGCTTTATTTTTCAGCAGAAAACGACTGTGTCAAAGAAAAGGTAAAAGTCTCAGCAATTGGCTGCTTTCAGGCTTCATCTGGTAAAGTATTCACCGCTGGAGGCACCGCTGTATATAGAGACAATTACCTTTCTATAAATGTAATTAAGAGGGCACTTTATTCACTAAATACAAGCTTCTACAAATTAAACTTAATTTTAAACTTCTATATACTGAGCTAAGTGTTGTAAGGACATTGACTTACAAATAAATGGACGACGGGTCTAATACAAAAACCACGAAAAAAATGTTCCAAGTCAACCTATTTAAACGTAGTGACATGTAAAGGAATATGAAAAAGCTAAAACGTTGAATTTTGTAATGTCATCGCAGTACTGTCTAATTTTGCTTGCGTCGCTGTCAGTCGAACAAACGAAGACTAAAGCGTGAATGACGCTCTGTATACGATTTTAACGCCCTATAAGTGCGGACACTTTTTAGCGCGGACCCGACGTCCATATAATTGTAAGTCAATGTGTAAGGAGCATTTTACTGTGTACAAATAAAATTGGCAGATAATTAAATTTAAAACCATTTACATTAATATTTTGTTTTTATGGTACCAAATGACGGTCACGTCTGACCATAACTGTTGCAGTGGCACTCAGAGCTTTAAATCACAAAGATTTGACGGGTACTGCCACAGTGCGACTCACCCTGAGACTTACATAAGTTGGCAAATACCATGTGCCTATAATTTCACCAGCATCCTTACCTTTCAAAACCTTATATATCACTGGCATCCACTATATCCTATCTTGCCAGTTTGTATATCAATTCCAAGGACCTATTCGTGCTTATCGCAAATTTGTGATCCCTCATATTTCTATTGCTCGACTGAACCCGTCAAAGGAGGGTGTCATTCTTTGCCTGAAATTTATTAACGTGATTCAGCACTTCTGAATTTGGCAGATTTATGTTATCCGTTTACTTGCTGCATAGTCTATGGTGTGGGATGACGTCATCATTAACAGGAAAACAATGGAATATAAATATTTTTTGTTGCGTACAGAAACATCTCTTTTATGTGAAAATTAACTGAATTATAGTTAAAATCGTTAAATTTTTAACTTTCTTTAGTATAGTATATATTAAAGCCTAATATTAGCGTTACTGCATTCCGGTTTGGAAAAGTAACGGTGCTGGTGAAATTACAGGCACATGAGACTTGTTAGCTATGTTTCAGGGTGACGGGCGCAGTGGCAGTGCCCCTCAGATCTTTGTGTTTTAAAGCTCTGAGTGGCACTGCAACTGTTGTGGATAAGCGTCTCTCTTAACACCAGGCGCGCACCTTGCACGTCCCGTTACTTGTTTATACAACAAATAAAATATTATACCCAGTGACAGGACCAACAAGTCATGCGCCTGTTGGTAAGCGACACGCCTATCCATACCTGGTGCAGTAACTTTAAGTCGCAAAGATATGAAGTACATTGCCACTGCGCCCGTAACCCTGTGACATAAGTTGAAAAGCTCCATGTGCCCGTAATTTCAAAACTCAACCATTTATTCGCCAGATCCCTCTAAAATAATGATATCATAACACAGATAATTTTATTATGAAAACATAGGAAAAGATAATATCGTTTCTTAACATTATCAGATGTCAAGTATGTCTCAAGTAGTACCTCGATATCTGTACACATGACGTCAGTAGACAACACGCATGATAAGACGTCTTCGTTAAATGCCAAAGACCTTTTTTTAAATGCCAAAGTACTTACCAGCATTCTTCATCATTCAACTGCAACTTTGATAAACAATGTCCGTATAAACAGCTTTTTTTAACGAAAATAATGTAGAATATAATATCTTCACTCACAATAATATCTTGCCCAATACTAGTTTATAGGAAATGAAACTATTTTTCCGGATTTAAATCGCGTATATTTGTTTTTCCAAACAATCCCACGTTTCGG